CATTCCTACCGAAACACGTCGTCGCTCCGCAGACGACGTTGCCGGAGATGATACCTTCGGAGATACTCGAGATGTGTATTTTTTTATCTTCGTCAACTCGTCGTGCTTATTCGGCGCCCGCGCGATCTCACTCCGGCGACGCGCCGGAAGCGCGCAATTTTTGGCTGAAATGAAACTTTCTCCCCGAGAAGTGCGCGCGATTAACTCGAGCGCCGACTGTCTCGCGTTCTCTCTCTTCCCTTCTGTCGTCCTCCTCATCCCCCTGCACGCGCTCTTAACGGGACATGAATTACACGTGCAAGCACACACACACACACACGCATACACAAAATGCAACGATAAATCGATAATATCGAAATATCGATATATCGAGAGACAAATATCGAATATTTATCGATATTTTTTGTCTCCGATGAAATCGATATACCGTTATAAATTTACTGATATTTCGTATATTTCAGTTACAGTTCTGGGGGCCTGTTACGATTCTACGACCGAGATGAAAATGACAAAAGCGAGTGAATTCACTGGAATATATATTATGTAATTGGTCGATGTCTAGTAAATTCGCTCATTTTCATCATTTTCACCTCAATCGTTGAACCGTAATAAATCTCCTGCTCCGTGCATGCGGTGATCTCCGGCAAACGACTGCGCGGTTTATTATATATTTTCTAATAAGAATATGACAATAAATTATATGAAGATAAAAATTTTTAAAAGATCTTTTTAAATTTTTCGTGTATACCCTTCATACGCCATACCCCTATATGTAAAAATTTCTTTATATAAATATCGATATTTTTCAAAATTATCGATATTATCGTTATCGATGGTTCTGAATGACGATAATATCGTTATCGATATTTTGAGAAATCGTTGCATCCCTACACACACACATACACGCACACACCCCAAGTACTCGCTCGCGATCGGTGTAATAGGCGACGAGGAGCAGCCGGTCTTGTAGCGCGGACGATAAGGATCGCCTCTCTCTCTCTCTCTCTCTCTCTCGGATGTAATCCGACATCGCACGTCGACGTTATCTACGACAGGAACTGCATTCGCCCGTAAGACTGTTTACCCGGGTCGGCACTGCGACAAAGGGACAAAGCGATTAGTCGCGTCTACGCAAACAACGCGGATACGTGCCAGATCGTTTCCGCGGATCGTGTCCGCTATCGTCGGCGTCTCGCGAGACCGTGCGAAGTTCCCGAAAGCGTAGGAATTTCTGCCGCGGCACGCGCTTACGGTAAACCCTCGAGATTAGACAGGCCGGGAGAAATCCGGCGAGGTCGCGGAAAAAGAAACGCGCAGATGGAAGAACCTCCGAGAGAGCGGCCGTCTCCTCGCGACGAAGCCGACGAATTTTCCCCCGTCGAAACACACCGCGATCGCGTTGCGAATATCGCTTTGCTAACAAACGGCTAATTCCTTCTGTTCCTACCAACGTCGATGAAGAAATCTTCGTCTGAGTTCTTTTCAAGGACTTTGGTAATTTGCTTTAACGTTTAATCGAGAATCATTAATTGGAATCAGAATTGAACATATGTCGACAACGCGGTTGGAACGGAGAGAGAAAGAGAGCGACCGTTTCCTCTCGCGAAACCGGCGAATCTTCCTGTGGGGATGCCGATTTTTTTTCAAACAGATCGTTTCGAATCACGAAGCAAAAAATTGATCTTTAAAAAATCGGTTTGTAAAGAATCGATTTGAATCGGTATGCATGTAAAGTGTGAACCACTCATTAAAGTAAACTATCTGTCAAATTTCTACACTCTAAAGTAGACCTCATGTAACCCATATAAAGTTTAATATGAATTAAAGAAATTAAACAGATGGATACTCTTTTGGTTGTGTTGTGTGTGACCACAACAAGATAGAAAAAGATCTTTATATTAAGGATTCAATTAGTTTGATTAAACATCGATCAAGGGTTTTTAAACGTTATTAAATAAGAAATCACGTTTACTATTATATGTATATACATATGTATATAATGTATACTATTATATGGAGTGGCTGTGATTGGTTCGCGCGTTCCGTTCCACTGAAAATTTTCGTCCACGGGACATCATTACGCCTAAAGGCGTAATGTGCATCGTGCAGCCATTAAGTGAGTTCAAATATTACAACTAAAAAGAATTAAAAAAAAAAAAAACCATGACTAGTAGAAACTGAAAAAATCATGTTGGCAATTTTCAAAATTCACAGATCGATCCTTGAATCGATTAAGTTCCAGAAAATCGATTTGAAATCGATCTTTTAGGCTCCGATTAATCGATCTTCGATTAAATCGATTTAAAATCGGCATCGTATATCCCTGTCGCTCTCGCCGAGGTTCCGCTCGCGGGAATCGTCCGTTGCGGCCGAGTCGCGTTTGTTGATAAACGCCGCGCCGCGAACGGAATACGAGAGATTAGCAGGCGAGTAAGAAAGAAACAAGAAAAGGAGAAGACCGAAGGCGTGTCGCGAGGAAAAATCGTATCGGAGCGACATACAGAGGCCGCCGAAAAAGAACGGCGGGGGAAGGGAAGGGGAGGGGAGGAGAGGGGAAGAGGGGGGGGGTAATCCGAAGGGATTATAAAGAAGCCCGCGGCGCGCGCGTCTCGTTTCGTTCCGTTTCGTGCGAGGATATTTACGACACTAATGATCCGGACGACCGCGCGGCGTGTCACGCGCCTCTGCCGGCCGGCGGACGGCATTGTCGCGGCTTTTTCAGCGTGGCCTGTGTTACGTGCGGCGGACGAGTGGCCTACGTGCACCCTTTTTCAGCCCGACGACCGGCCGATGAGATGTCAACGAACCTCGGCCTCGCGAAGGTCCGCGCGCGATCGCGCTGCCGCCGGCGTCTCGTGCATTCGCGTGCATGCGCGCGTACGCGCGCGGCGCGTCTCTCTCTCTCTCTCTCTCTCTCTCTCTCTCGTGATCGGTGCGCGATCTATGCGCACGATTTACTCTTACGGGAAAATACGAGCGGCTATAAATAGGCAGGCAATGCGCGCGTACCTAGCCGCGTCGTACGAATCAATGAGCGCCATGCATTATTCGCGTTTGTGCAAATGCCATGGCGAGGGCGCGGGCGGCCCACGAGGGATTTATACGCCACCTTCAAGAGCCGGCGTAATGCGCGCAGCGTATCCTTGAGGAGTCTAGAGCAAGAACGCGCTGAATCTATAATTCGTAACATCTATTTTCGGACGATTACACCGACGTAATCGCCGCGCCGCGCGCCGACGGGAGGCCGCGACTGCGGTCAGGTGGAGTCTTCTGCCACGGTCTATGCCATAAGCGCGATTATCGCGCTAAAGAGAGAGAGAGAGAGAGAGAGAGAGAGAGAGAGCGAATCGCTAAATCCAGCTTTACTCCGGACTGTTGATGTCACCTGATTTCTATGTACTTGTTGTACATGAACTTGTGTACACTTTACACATGTCCCGGGATCTACGAGCGAATCTTACGACTTAGATATAGGAGAGAAAAGTTGCATTTCTCAAAGTATCGGAAGTTGAGGTTTCAATGATCTTCCATGCAGATTTCTCTTACTTCATCTCACAAGACCGACACGGGAACATTGAATGTTAATCAGGTTATACGGGAAAAAAAGATCGGTCGAGTCGACAACGAACGATTGTAACGAACGTTTCGGGGTTGAAGGAAACAGAACTTTCTTCTCCCCGAATCCGGTTCATAAATTATCTCAACTTCTATCTCTGTCCCGGTCTCGAAGTTGAAAACGTTTCAGAGCATACTGTAAGGATAGCCACGCTCAAAGAAATGCAGACGAGGGGAGATCACACGGTGGAAAAAGTGACACGCACCCGTAGTGATTCAACGATAATGAGTACTTGTTCAGACAAAAGTCGTGACGAATCCGAAAGCGTTTGTCTAGTCGTAAAGAAACAAACGCGTAAGCGAACCAAAGCCGAGAGAAAAGAGAGTCTTTTCGTCGTCGAATCGTCGTCAGGAGACTTCTTATTGGTCCACGTTGATGCCGATGTATCGGCGGGCAAAGTCAACGAGCCGTAGTACATTCGAAACAACTCCAAATAATAGCTAACAACTAGAATAACAGTTTCGGTCACCCAATCTGTTCGACTGAGATCTATTTATCATCTTCATTTGATTCGTCCTCTAATAATCTAACGGTTCTAACGTCTAAAATATTCTACGACGTCTAAAATATTCTCGACGACGGAATTTGCCCGCTAACTGTTTACAGTACGTTTTCCCTCGATATCCTTCGCGAGTGAGAGGGACTCCTCACGCGGAACGCTCCTAACATCAAGCTAACAACGCGACTTCTGAAACGGGATCTAATTGCGATCCAGAAGAGTGAAACTCGAGATAAGACGGTTGACAAAATTTTTCCGCTTCTCAGAGCGCGGGAAGTGCGTCGGAGTCTCCACTGTGTGTCGCTTTCCACTCGAGTAATCTCGACAACACTTCGATCAACGAACTCGAAGGCGCGAATGAGCACGATGTCGTCGTCGTCGTCGTCGTGCGTCCGCGTTTGTCTCTTATCGACGCTGCAATAATTTAGAATTTATCGAGAGGTCTTTTTTTCCAAGCGCGGATCGTTGATATAAACAGCGAGGTCTTACTTCTTTTTTTGCGAGACCGATTTCATTTAATCCAAGCGAGATAGTATCATTCAGCACCACTCATTATTATACCGGGTGTTCCTATCCTCTCTCTCGGCAGATTCTGAGATCAACTCGTGGACGCTCCGTTTCCGAGGTTCAAAATTTCGAGGGTCAAAAACCGTCTCCCTTTTTCAATTCTTAAATACCAGTGTTACTCGCATCAACAGTTCCGTCCGGCAGCTCTACATATCAACACCCTGTCAACATCGGCGTTATTTTCATAGCGATATCGTATCTGAATAGCAGCGTTCTGTTGTAAAACGTTGTACACTTTCGTCAGGCTCATTTTCTGCCATCGTCTGCCACGCACAACCACCTCCGCGACGAATAACAATGAAGAACAATAAGACTCACCTTCGAAGCATCAGGTATCCTCTGTAGGCCGAGACCTTGCACGATGCTCCTCCGGATGATCTCCAGCTCGTCCTCGCGGAGGTGTTTCCCCGGCGTGGCCAGCTCTTCGACATCGAGGTCGATCGGGTCACCCAAGTTGGCCTCGGCCGATGACGGAGCGCCGAGCACGGCGTCGCAGAGCAAACTCCTCGTGAGCAGCCCCAGCAGAAGAGTCCGTAAGACGAAGCCGACCCTCGTGGTCGGCAATCTCCAGCACGTATCCGTCTTGGTCCGCCTCGGTCGCGCTTCGTCGGGAACGTCGCGGATTCGCGCGATCGTCTTGCCGGAAGACGACGTGGCTGTCGTCGTCGTCGTCGTCGTCGTCGTCGTCGTCGTCGTGCCGTCGGCTGCCTCGTCGGCAGCGAGGCAGCGAGGCGGCCGTTTCGCGTACGAAGAATCGTCAATACCGATATCGAGCAGCCTGGCGGATTCGCCGATGCCGTTACTGTCGCCACTGGGCGACCTGGATACCGGGATGCCTCCGACGACGCGTCCCGTGTCGATCGACTCTCGGCTCTCGCGGACGATTATCAGCGATCTGCTGTTTGCGTCAACGAGTTCAGCCGCCTTGCTGATGATATCTTCGGCCGAGATATTTCCGTCGCGCTCGGCAACATTCGTGCTAGCAGCCAGCGCCACGGGGAACCGATTCCGACGACCTTGCCGTCCCGTATTCACAAGCATAATACTATCTACTGTGCTAAGGAGTATCTGAATATCGGCTTTCGGAATATCGTTATTAGGCGCGCCGATGGACCTACTACGAGTCAGCAGGACACCGTCGCCGCCGCAGCCGCCTCGTCGGCTTCGCCGCTCGACGGGGAAGGAGCAGCCAGCGGCGCGGACTATGCAATCGCGAGGTCGTTGCGCGTGAGGAGAGGCGACGTCGCTCGCGCAACAAGTGCTCTTGTCGCCGGCGATCCTGCCGTTCCAACGGCTCCAACGTGCTCCGGGTGCGCCCGTCGCGTCGAGCACGCGGTTCTCCTTGACATTGCTGCTGCTGCTGCTGCTGCTGCTGATGTCGAATCTCGCTGAGGTAGCTGTCACTTCGACGACGCATTCGCCTTCTGGGCGATCGGCGTGCCAGGTGTTCCTGCGTGGTCGCGTCGCGCCGAAGACGACCTCGCGATACCTTCGACACGGCTCGCTCGAGGCGCCGGTGATCGCGCCGCTGATCGGGCGATTAGCAATTCCCGGGACCAGACGTTCCGCCGCCGCCGCCGCCGCCGTCGTCGTCGCCGCCGATCTCCTCCCCGCGCATCCTCTCGACGAGGAGCTGTCGTCGTCGTCGACGTCTCGTGGAGCTACGTGGAGCCGACGATCGCGATCGGCGGCAGCGCTATCGGCGATCGCGCTATTAGCCGCGCTGGATCGCGATACGGCACCACCGGCGATCACCGTGCTCGTCGCCGTCGGCTTCTCCTCCTTGCTGGTCCTCCTTGCGTTGTCACGAGTGTCACGTCGAGGGATTATTATTGGCTGCTTGCCCATAGCCAGGTACACAATTTCGCGGCCGGTCGGACCGGCTACTCTCTCTCGGGCCACGGGGTGCACGTCGGACGTTTCGTGACCCGTCCTACGTCGCCGCCGTCGCCGTCGCCGCCGCCGCTTCGGTTGTCCTTGCCGCGAGGGCGACCGGCGAATGTCCCGATTGCACTCGATATGATCGGCGTGCCGCGCGCGCGGACGAGTTCCGCGCTAACAATAATGATAAATGCGCGCGCGCGCGGTTCCTCGACTGGACGAAGTGCTCGCGGTTGTTCCTCGCCGTGTTCCAGCGGACGTGCGCGCCGAGAGTGCTACCGAGTTTTGGCAGAGCCGCTGGCCTGGTTCCAAGTCCGATCGAGAGCGATTCAGCGGCGAGCTGATCGGTCGCGAAGCCGCTGTGGCATCCTAAAGGAGGCAGCAGCCCCCTGCGAGACGTGGGGAATCGCGCGGGCAGGATGTCCGATTATTGCGTGCTTGCGCGCCGTGCTCCCCGTGGGCGAAAGAAGACGACGACGACGCGGCGCGGGACGCCGTGAAGCTCATCGTAGAAGACGCGCCCACGAGAGTGCGATTATGAATCCGCGAGAAGCCGAAGAGTCGCGCGCCTTTTTGCTCTCTTTCTCTCTCTCTCTCTCTCTCTCTCTCTCTCTCTCTGTCTCTGTCTCTCTGTCTCTCGACTACCTCGCCGTGGAAGATCGGAGCCCGAAGACACGAAGGGTGGAGAGCGCAGCGTTCACTTCTTCTCACGAGTCACTACTGTTACTACTATACTTCTTCCTTCGTCTCTGAGACTCTCTATCCTCTTCCTTTCTCTCCCTCGCTGGCAAGACCGGAGGAGGAAGGAGAGCACGACCCGCTTCGTACGAGTGCCGCGTGTCGACTGTTCGCCGCTATGATATTGCGTGTGCATGTATATATCCAGCGGCTACTCCCGCCTGTCTCTACAAGACTCGCCGCCGCAGCCGCAGCCGCCGCCGCCGCCGTCGCCGCCGTCGCCGTCGCCGCTGCCGCCGCCGCCGCCGCCGCCGCCGCTTCGCGCAGCGCAAAAGACGAGCGAGCGCAGTGAGAGCGCCGAAAGTGTCAGCGCGAATAAGGTGAATGAGAATAAGAACGTTTCCGATCGCGTAACGGGTATCCGCTTGGATATCCCGCTTCGATCCCAATTTGCCCCGCTGTTTGGAACGAATTTATGGAGCATCTCCGGAGGATGTTTCTCTGGTGGGTCGACAAGGTGGATCGCGGTTATCAAAGGATCGTTATATTGATTTCTTTCGGGGAAAAGGGAATTTCACGCGCGGGCTTTCACACAATGCTGCTCGTCTCCGCGGGGAACGATCACGCTCCCGTCGGGGAGTCACTTTACGAAGAATAAGTGACCGATCCCCCGGCTAAAACGTCACGTATCTTTTTCTCTCTCGTACCGCGTGTGTCGCACAAACACGGCGCGTCCTTGGAGAGGCGCAACATTTATGTCTTTATCGTTGAAACTGGTTTGATAAGTAAAATGCTTCGTCGCGCGTTTGCTCCAAACGAAAGACGAGCGAGATATTTCTGGGCCATCCTCCGGAAAGATGATCGCGCGGGATATGTAACGGATATGTCACATAAAGATATCGTCGATTTTGTAGAAATTAACGTATCGACGTGACATTTTTCCACATCGAAATCTCCGCGCGCATGCGCATCTCTCTCTCTCTCTCTCTCTCTCTCTCTCTCTCTCTCTCTCTCTTTCTCTCTCCTAAGATGAAAGTTAGGACCGGTTTGCGATCTCTCTCTCTCTCTCTCCCTCCCTCCCTCCCTCCCTCCCTCCCCCTCTCCTTCTGCGATATCGATCTGCCTCAAACGCAAAAGAAGCAGGATATTTCAGAGTACATATTCGGAGGACGCAGCGCGCGCGCGTGTGAATGATTTAAGACGCGTGATCGATATCGCCTAATACAGTCGTCGAGAATCTTACCGAAAGCCGGGACCTGCTCCCGCGAGAGCGGGAGGCATGTCTCAGGTTCCTCCGTTTCGCCGCTCGTGCGGACCGTGCTCCCGCAATCGTACAACTCCTCTCTTTTTGCGTCAATAGAACGGAGTCGAGCGCAAAAGGGCCGCCCTTCTCGGAATTTCGTACACCGGCCGAGCGCGGCCGGCCGATCGCCCGAGGAACGAGCAAGGTAGCTGACCGGCGATTCGAGAGAGAGAGAGAGAGAGAGAGAGAGAACGATCCGCCATTTCGTTCGGTGAGATGCGAGGAACTTGGCGCTTTTCTAGACTCGAAGCGAGCCGCGAGTCGAAAGTCGTCGCCGCGATCTAGCGCGCGCTCGCGAGTATCGAGCGTTGCTGACTTCGCGTCGCAAATAGCGAGAGGTACAAACGCCGAGGAGAATTTCTTCCCCAGACATCGGCTCGAAATGCAAGAACGTTCGCGTTCGTGAATAGCGTCGGCTTGCATACATCTGCTCTCTCTCTCTCTCTCTGCACTTTGTCTCGACACTTGCGCGACCCATCTCTCCTTCGCGTAGCCTCCGGCGGCTATGATGAGGTTAGAAAGCGCAGTAGCGCGCGCGCGAGAATGCCGATACGAAGAGAGATCCGCGAGACGAATATCGCAACGGTACCGCGAGAGCGAGTGAGCTCAATGGCAAGATGCAAATGTAATAGCTGAACTTGGCGATACATACGAACGTGGATGAGGTAGGTCCCAGTCGCTCGAGCCGAGTCCCGTTGCGTGCGCTCTCCCGCGGAGAAAAGGACGTTGGGTACCGCGCTGCCTCGCTGCATTATCGCGAGATTCGATATCTCGATCTCGGGGATTGACGCGTCGAGTGCGAGATTTCTCCGAGCGAGCCCACCGTTGCTCTCGGTTAGCTGTCGTGCGCGCGCTCGCGCGTAATGGCGCCTCGCGATCTTCGCGATTACACGTTGGCGAAGTACAAGGCGATCGAATTCCCTGCGTGTCGCTCCCCCTGGGCCGTCGCTCTCGCGGCCCTTCTCGCTCGTTGAATTCACCTCTGCGCGTTGCGTCGCTTCGAAGTTTAATTGCGAGGCGTAATCGAGTCTCGACGAGCGAGAGCGACCTTCCGTCGTGATTTATCCGCCCGCTTTCGACGACGACGGCGGCGGCGGCGGGGCTTCGGGTATTAAGTTACACGAGAGCGCAACGCCGCATTTACTCCGACGAGGTATTCTTCTTTCCTTTTCTCCTCGCCTTTCTTTTCCAGCCAGCCAGCCAGCCAGCCAGCCAGCCAACATACCTGAGTCGCGCAAGCGGGTGCGAAAAGGAGCGCTCTCGTGATCGCGCCGGTAACGAGACTATTGCGACTACGAGCGAGTCTGTATTTACAGGTGCAGGTACGAGTAATCGAGCGAGCGATCCCCGGAGAAAATGCCCAATCGGGGGAAAGAAATATCCAGGAAAATCACGCTCCCGCACACGTGGTGAGTGAATGTACATTCCCACGCCAGTTATCGCTCCCTGCGATTATAAACCGATCACCTGGCTTGTATGTTGCACAAATTGATTCTTTACTAATACAAAACGCTGGGAGGGGCGGAGCGGGGCGGGGGAAGGGTGTACCAAAGAGAGGTTACTTTACATGCGTTTCTCGAGAGAAACGAGCGAATTATTATCAGCGAGCAGCGATTTGATCGCTGCGACGGCAGGGGAAAGGGGCACTGTTAGTCCGCGTTAGTCTGTAAAGGGTGAACGGCGCCGGTTTTAATGGTGCGCCGAGTGGTGCGGGAATACGCGATGATTTACGCGAACGTGAGGAGGAAAACATCGGCGATTGATGCAGGAAAATCGCATGGCTACATACGCGTATCCCCCGTATCGCGGCGGTATAACGCGGGTGTCCTCAGCGCGGGTGTGCAGCATGGAATAGAAATTATACATCCGCATCGACTTCTGACCTCTGATTAGTGTAATCGCATAACTTGGCGCCTTCGATTTTCTCCTTAGCGTTCCACTTAGCCTTTCTTCCGGTGATAACGGCCGACATGTCACAGTCGTCGTGGCTCTCGTCAGGTTCCATCGTTTATCAGCGACAGCCGCCGTGTACTTTCCTGTTGACTACGAAGCGCGAGAGAAAACAGCAGAAGAGAGAGAGAGAGAGAGAGAGAGAGAGAGAGAGAGAGGGGAGGGGAGACGAAGAAATAAGTTTTTAGAAATAGCGTTTTACGCGCGGGAATGTAACTCGAAATGAAATCTGGGTCGGAAAGAGTTAATTCGAGCCTTTGCTTCTAGAAAGAATCACGTTCCACTTCTCTGACTCGCCTGGGTATATTCGGGTGTCACATTTTTATCAGGAGAGAAGGCAAAAGAAAAAAGTAGAAAGTAGAAAGTACGCGATAAAAGAGCAACTAGGTATGTCGATAGATATTTCGACTGGAGGTCGAATTATATTTTCAGGGGGGACCGAAATATATCTAGCAATCTCGAATAATCGGCAAACTCCTGAGCGACACCTGTGTGAGCCCTCAGGTTCGCAAAGTAGAGCCTGTACAGCTCGTAGCCGAGTAGGTTAATCATCGGTAAAGTCAGCAGGAAAATCAAGCGTATGTGTAGCAACTAGTCTATTGATCGGCGCGCGGACACACATGACGATTCGGGTTTTACGCGCGTTCTCATCGAGGAGGGTAGAAATTTGCACGTGCGCACGTGACGAACGTGGGTGTCGGTACCTGGTGTTCTCCACCTCTCGCGAGCAGCACACGATCGGACGGAACGAACGACGCGTGACGGCGACGGAATCCCTGAATGAAGTCACCTCTCGGAAATCGCCGATCGATTTCGGGGAAGCGACGCGACGGTCGCAAGCTCCTCGCCTTTTTTCGCGGAAGACGAGAGAGAGAGAGAGAGAGAGAGAGAGAGAGAGAGAGAGAGAGAGAGAGAGAGGGAGAGAGAGAGAGAGAGAGAGAGAGAGAAAGTCGCGTGATGATTCGTTAATCTCAGGACATTAGCGAGATAACGCGGAGGGGTCGCGAGGAGTGAAAGGACAATCGTCGTACACAGGTACGCGGAATCATCCCCGGCGGGCCGGCAATGAAATTTCGCGTACCTGAAAAGTTAATCAGCGCGATCGGCGCTCTCTTCCCCGAATTAATTTGTCCCGCTATTAATTCCGCTTACGCGCGGCGGGGGGAATGTGAAATTTATAACAATTCTCCGAGATACATTGTCCATTATGGATACAGCAGGCTGTGCGAGGGACCGAGACGCGCGTGTCTTCCTTCCAGGTAATCGGGAGGCGGCGTAAGTTATATAAAGCCGGTTTCACACAGTCTCTCGCCGGCAATAATCGTAAATCAATATCGCTGGTTGCGTCTCGACGAAATATTGGGTATATACATCTCAGGCGGGACATTATCCCGAAATGTCGCGCGATCGTGCGCGCGCGGGGAAAGCTACTATTTTTCACGTAGCGCGCCGATGAATTTTGCGATGAGTTCCTGCGGCTTCTCTTCGCGTCTTGACTCCTGCCGTGCCTCGACCTAAGACACAAGCTGCTAACCGGCCAATCGAAGTCGCGTGCGTCGCGTGCATTCCTGACTCACCGTACTTCAGCCTGATGGGGCCTAAGACCTCGTCAGTCAGAAAACCCTGAATCCGCAGTCCTCGATGCAGTCTTAATCTCAAATTCAGACTGGAAGCATCGAAGTTGCACATCGTCGTCGAGATTGCAACAGGCAGATTTCCACACAGTCGCGACGACGTCGGCGAAATGAGTGCGCGCGAGTGCGCGCATTCATCAGTCAGGGTGCCGCAACGGTCAGGGTTTGCGCGCGGATTCGAAACGTGGTGAGAGCGGCCTAATAGGCAGACGCGATGGTCCGGCCGGTGTACCCTCGTAAGGAAGACATCAGGAATGCACGCGCTCACGACCGGCACCGCCCGTACACGTGGTGCGTACGTGTGAGTGTGCGTACGTGTA